GCGAACCAATAAACACATTATAATATAGCAGCATGATATGGATAATGGGTCACTAAATTGGGCACACAAGGAATATTTTTCATTCAAAATGTATCCTACTAATCTGATGCATACACTATCTTCCTGTATAAATCCTCGCAAGCAGTCATGCTCTAATTACTTAAGCCATCATCGCTAGTTTCAAACTTTTAGGTACACATAAATGCACATAGACACATGTTCTAGATTGATATGAAGTAAACTAACCAAATCACTTTATACCTTGTAAAAATTAACTTGATATGCTAACTTGAATTAATTGTAAGAATAACAACCTATTTTGGTGATGTCCGCAATATGAAATGCGAAAGCTTAGCAAGCTTTCAGCGGGATACGACGAATTTGCTTATAAAACAGTGCCAGTTAGAATTTTCCCGTAAATCCAACCTAAAGCTGGCCAATATAAACCCACCGCCACCTTCTGGCAAGATCGATAGTAATCACACAGTAAACATAGTGATGATCTGATAGCGATGTCAACCTGAAATCATAACTAAAGCTTCACTACCTATACGCAAACACGCAGAAACAGAACTATTCGTATTAAAATGGAAAGGCAAAAAGCTTGTTGATAGGTTCTACATAATGTTTAAAAATGTGCCAGATAAATTCCTTTATTAGATGTTCTGCAAATTCACGAGTAAGACCAAGTCTGACATATAAATTTATGCTCCAAAATACAGAAGTTTTGAGAGTAAAGCTGATAAAAAATTTATATATATATATATATATATGGTTATTCAGGAATTTAAAAATCTTGTAATATTTTTGCATAATAAAACGAAACCTGATCCCTTGGAGCCTAAAGCAGAATCTCAAAGCACAGATTCGCTGAATTACACTTAAAATTGGCCCAGACTCGGGACATTGGATGATCCTTGCACAATAAGGCAACAAACAAATCGCAATAAATTGTAATTGGTACGGATGTACGAGTAGAAGAGAGTAGAATAAGCCCGACTTACGGAGCTGAAGCTTGACCGCCGATAGAAGTGTGCATTGGTTGCCCCAGCTGGCTGATCACTTCAGAACTGGCGTTTAGTGCACGAAGCCTGGCCAGAAGCCCTAGTTCTCCAGTCTCGACATGGCCTGAAACAGTTGACCGGAGGTGAGGGGAGCTGCTAGCACCTTTGCAACTAACTTGGCAAAGCCCACCTCCGTCACTGCGTGTTGAACATGTAGAGGCTCCGAGAGGATTAGGAGGGCGGTTAAGAAGTGAGGGGCCTGTAGAAGATGGCTGTGGCAGAGGTGCAGTGAAAAAGTTAGAGCAAAAAATAAGAGAGATACACCCGATGTATTAAGATGCCTTTGCTGCTTCGCGATGATCAAGCGCTCAAAGTATAAAACTATGCTATTGAGTGCGATATGACAATGATCAAAAAATGGAAAATAAATAAATATATACGCGTATATAGCGCTATCGTAAATAGGATGGAAAGGTATTCGACAGATATGAAAAGAAACCTTGTAGAAAAACTATTCTCTGATGGAAGCCAAAAAAACAAACAAATAAATAATAATGTATAAAACTAAAATATCGTTTAAGATAGATATTCTATCGATATTATTTTCATCTGTGCTCGGGTTAAAATAATTGTCTGATAAGTTAGTACTGATATAACCGTGAATAAGACGATGTCCGCAATAAGTGCTTAGAAAGTAGAGATAGCAATTGGAAAACAGTGCAGATACAGAGCAAGAAGTCTATACCCTAGCAGGAATAAGTTCCTTCGAAGGCTAAAATAAAAGAATATAGTACAAGCGAATCTAACAAATCTTATTGCTATAGAAAAAAAGTAAACCGTCCCTGAAGACAGAATTCCATCGCCCGTGATAAAGTTTGTGTGACTTTTTATCTAAAAATTCTCTGTGGCACTTTGGCACTGGTTACTCAGATACTAGTTGGTTAGTTATGAATGTAAATTAAATAAAGCAATTGCCTGGATTAAA